AATGATCCGAGTATACTCGTAAGAATAATAGAAGCGCGTGCACAGTCCACTCTGCATCTGCATAGGATGGGCACGTTCGAAGTCCGAGTGCACTCGCTAAACGTGTTTACACGCTACGAATAGCGTCCGAGTGGTCATCCGAGTAGACTCAGTCTGAGCGTAATCGTATAGTGAAAACCCGACTTAAATATGCAGATTTTAAGTTGCTTTACAGCAGAGCAGTAACCACAGATAACAGTATTAATTAATGAGTGATTTCGGCACTATAGACAGTTACGTTTTCTCTTAGAGGATGGGTTTTCTACATGCCTAGAAATCGAATAGTTTAAACTGAAACCTAAACACTAAAAAAAAGAAGATCAATAAGACTCAATTTACATTGCCGTGGAACGACATATAAACATCAATCGCTTCATTGCGAAAGCGCGTGAATTCGCTAAAATTAAAAAGGCTCAACGCGACTGTCGTAATAAGTACCTATTCACCATCACCAGCCTACATAAGGGTCAAAAGACAAAATATATTATCATATGGATGCGTACAGATCTGGTGAATGCGTTGCAAATGCGCTGCGCATGCGCACCCGCTGCACGCGCTCTTCAATTAAGTGCGCCTCTGTAATGAAATCTCTCATATAAGCGCGCAAGTCAAGAAAAGATCGTAATGGGGTCGAGTTTTTGAAATTGTGTGCCTTATTCCCTCCCACAATTTCACAAGACAACAACAACAACACAATTTCAAAAACTCGACCTACACTACGACACTACGGTCGAGTTTTTGAAATTTGACTAACCAGAAAAAAGTCGCTATTTAGTCGATTCTAGTTGCAAAAAACTAGATTTAGTCGGTCCGCCGTTCAAAAGTTATAAGGGTGTTGTACTGTCCATGTTCGAATAAGCTTATACCAGCGTCACCATTTCTCAATCTCGAATACCACAACACTTAAGCTTAGATCTGATTACACTAAAAAAAGTTGTGATTTAGTCGGTTCTACTCACTGACTTACAAATAAATGAACGACGGGTCTAATACAAAAACTACGAAAAAAATGTCCCAAGTCAACCTATTTAAACGTAGTGACATGTAAAGGAATATGAAAAAGCTTTTAAATTGTAATGTCATCGCAGTACTGTTTAATTTTGCTTGCTTCGCTGTCAGTCAAACAAACGAAGACTAAAGCGTGAATGACGCTCTGTATACGATTTTAACGCCCTATAAGTTCGGACACTTTTTAGCGCGGACCCGACGTCCATATAATTGTAAGTCAATGGTTCTAGTCGTAATAATAATAATATAATAATAATAATAATAACGCACACACTCAACATGGCCCCGCACTAGGAAAACCCTATATCGCGGGTGGCATGGACACACACATAGACAAAGACAAATTACACCCAACTCACGAAAGAAATAAATGTAGGCCATACAAATATTTCTCCCAGCCCGGGAATCGAACCTGGGACCTCTGCATGGCAGTCCGGCATGGTAACCGTTCAGCCAGAGGCAGTTTAAAATAATTTTTTTTTTTGAAGGTATTAAGATGTTTTACTGTCCACGCTGAAATAAGCGTATTCCGGCGGCACCATCTTTGAATCTCGAGAACCACAGCCCCTAGCTTAGGGTCGTATTCTAGAACTCTACTCAATGCTCAAGTCAGGATTTGAGCAGACTTGAGTATGATTTCAAGCACTGGAAATACGACCCAATGGCAAGGACTTGAGTATAATTTCTAGTGCTTTGAATCATACTCAATTCCTGACTTGAGCATTGAGTAGAGTTCTAGAATACGACCCTTAGATTTGATTGCACTCCGAAAAAGTCGTGAATTAGTCGGTTCTAGTCGCAAAATTTTAGAATTAGTCGCTCCTTTGTTTACAAAATATTGGATATTCAATTATTTTCATTGATAGGTACATTTACGTAGAAAAATCGTACACATAATGAAAAATGTTTCAACTATACTCCGTCCAACCATTTATTTAACTTTTGACAGCTCGAACTGTAATCAATAAGTGATGTCCTAACGCTTTCCGCTTAGATTTTTTTATAGCAATCGATTTTATTTATAGAGAAGCTTAAATCGTGAAAGTGAGCGGATTAAAAAAACATTGCCTGATTGGGATCGTGATTTTGCGTTTGACAAAATATTGTGTACTTATGAATTAATAATTAGGCGATTAACACACTGCACGCACGCACGGGACGCGGAACGCGGAACGCGGGACGCGGAATCACGCGTGCGGTGACGGAGACGCAGATCTACGTCAACGCGCGATTTACTCTGCGCGGGGGTAACGGTCTAGCGGCCCCGCGTCACTTAAAATACTCGCTTCGCAGTTGATCGCCGTAGTGATTGTATATGTAGCCGAGATCCTTCTTTGACAACAATGGTTAATAATACAGAACTCATTCAGGACGCTGCACGCTGTTACACTGTCTATTTGGTTTTTGTTTACTCAAATAAAAAGACACTGAAGATATTGGATACATCCCTTTTTACGAACCAGATCGATAAATGGATAATTTCAACATCATTACAAAGATTTAAGAAAAAATGAAGATAAATTTGGTCTATTTTCAATAGCAAATATAAATTTATCGACGTCGAGATCTATTGAAGAAAACTGAACATGTCCTTAAGCTTAAAAATCTGCGCGGTAGTGCGGAGCGCAGTGTGCCATACCTTGCGGCTCGCCGCACCCCTCCGCGCGGGGGCGCGGTAAAACCGCGCGCGCTGCGCTCCCGCGCGGTGAAGCGTTGTCAGTGTGTTCGATGGCGCGTGTTTTCCATACAAACTGAGATACTTCAGTACAACGTTAAAAACGCAGCTCCGCGCCCCGTCGCGGGGCGCGGTACAGTGTAATTATTCGCCTTAATGTTAATGTGGTCAAGTGATGATTCCCGTTAATATTGAGAAGAATCCGACGATTCAATAACACAATAAAAATGTATTGTAATTATTTACAATTTATTTCATTTCATTATAATTTATTAAACAGGTAACAAAATTTATAACTTGAACAATCTCCGTTTCATAATCTGTTGGCTCAATAAATACACGTATATAGCAATAACGTTGCTTCACTAAAATTAAAAAATTAAAAAGTTGCACAATGGTTCTTTGTCAATAATTACGAAACTTCAAATTTCAAAAACTCGACCATGGCAACTCTGGAATAAGGCACACTTTGAAATTTCACTAGCCAAATTAAAAAGTCACTAAGTAGTCGGTTCTAGTCTCAAAAAACTAGATTTAGTCGGTCCGCCGATTAAAAGTTATAAGGGTGTTTGACTGTCCACGCTGGAATAAGCTTACTCCAGCGGCACCATTTCGCAATTTCGAGTACCACAACACCAAGCTTAGATCTGATTACACTAAAAAAAATTCGTGATGTAGTTGGTTCTAGTCGTAAAAAACTAGATTTAGTCGTTACGCTGTTTTGAAGTTATTGAGGTGTTTTACTACTCACGCTGGAATAAGCTTATTCCAGCGTGGACAGTAAAACACCCTTATAACTTTTGAACGGCGGACTAAATGTTTTTTTGCGACTAGAACTGACTAAATAACTACTATATACCTAAAGGTAATGTAACAATGCATTGCAAT